GAAGTCAATTCTCTATGGAAATAGTGAATCTGAGCCGGCGGTTGCAGAAGCTTGCGTGCGCAATTGACCAAGAATTTTTCAAGGAGAACACATTGCGACTAGTTATCAAATGTCTGCCTAGATTGAACTTGGAGGTAATGAGGAATTATGGAAGAGATTTCCATATTTTTGCAGTGAAAGAAATAAAATACTTTTATATTATTATTATTGAGATGATACCATTATTGCATTGTCCTGGTTACTGATAAAAATTAAAACTTTAATCTTATGCCATATTGTTCATGCTTGGTGGTTGCTTGTCTTAATTATGTGCTTTTGCAGACTAGAAAAGATGCCACACAAGTCGTTGCAAATTTACAGAGGCAGCAAGTTCATTCTAAATTGATTGCATCTGATTATTTGGAGAAAAATTTGGATCTTATGAATATCCTGATATTAGGGTAAGAAATTTTTGGATGAATAAATTAGTTACATGATATTTTAGTGGACTTTACTTAGTGTGATGACTTCTCATCTCCAAATGAATAGAATTGAAGTACTTAAGGCTTCACTAAGGCTTTCGAAGATAACATATATCTCATGATTTTGTCAAATCAAAGAGCACTTCCTTCAGGGGGAAATTAAGGAGGAAACTGTGATATTAGAATTCTCAAATAGGGGGATTTATTGTGTTAATACTGGAAATAAAATAGCTCTTTTGTCAATCCTTGACATGGAGGTGGTATTTTAAACTTTTAATTGCTCTGGTGATGGTTGTGTTTTATTTCTCTCCCATATTTTCAATTACGTTTGAACCTAATGTCTTTGTGAATCAGACACTGTGGTAATACTTGGTCTAGATCACCAAAGTCTGTGTCTCAGTGGAAAAGAGTGTTTTTACTTTATTAATATTTCATATTTATTTACCTTTTGTTGTTGTTGTTGTGAGCTACATTTTATCTATTTTGATTCAGCTATGGAAGTCACTGACTATTGTTTCTTTCTAGATATGAAAACGCGGATATGGCCTTACACTATGGCGCTATGCTGAGAGAGTGCATAAGACACCAGATTGTTGCTAGGTGAGGAGAAAGTATCAGATAAAAATCATATCTTTTTTTTTTTTTTCCAGAACACAATCTAAAACTATTATTGACAGATGGGAACACAATCTTGTTGGTCGTTGTTGTCATTTGTGTTGGAATCATTGTTACTATGCTTCCATACAATTTTCACGCTTGAGAGAATTATGTCAAATGAGAATGTTGGGTGCTTAAATAAAGAACTAAGCCGAAGTGGCTGAAAAGGAAATTGTTCTGGGTCAGTTAATATCTCATGTAATGTGTGATGCTCTAAGCCATTTTGATTTTTCTGTCAGTTATGTACTGCAATCACCGAATATGAGGAAGTTTTTTGATTACATACAACTTCCAAATTTTGACATTGCCGCAGATGCTGCTGCAACATTCAAGGTAGGTATCATCTGAGTGAACTTGTGAAGATAGATAGCTTTTTTCTTTTTTCCGGCCACAGAGTGAAGATAGATGGCAGGGTTAAAATTGTGTGTATTATGCGATTCATCTTTAACCGGGTTAAAATTTTGTGTTATGTCAACTTGTTACAGGAACTCATGACAAGACATAAATCTACTGTAGCTGATTTCCTCTCTAAAAATTATGAATGGGTAGGTTCTCCTCTTCCAACTTGTGGAAAGTCGGAGTTCATTTGTATTCGTACATTGACAGTGACTTTCTTTCTATCCTTCCTTTCTACCTTAAAAGGTCGTTGGGCAATGTGCTTGATTGTTGTAGCATGTCATAGAAATTGTCATTAGTTAGCAATAATATGGGTAAATTCTTGGGAAGATAAAACTTTTAATCTTGTGGTGTTTCTTGGATCAATATTGGTCCTGTTACTGGATTTCAATACCCAAGAGGCTTTCCACTTCCTTACATTAACCCCTACATTCTTATCATTTGGCATGATTCATGCACACATGTCCGTGCACTTCTTTCACTTGCATAAGTTTGTACTTATCTGTATATCAGTTCCTGCTTTACTTTGTACATGATTTCTTTTAACTGCTCTTATATCTTGGCTACTATCTTTACTCCCATCTATGTTGTTATTGCCGTTGTCAGTTTTTCAAGGAGTATAACTCTAAGCTGTTGGAATCTCCCAATTATATCACGAAGCGTCAAGCTGTCAAGGTACTATGCAAATTTGATATTTATTTTATTTGCAAAAACTTCGAATGAAGAAAGCATGTCCAAGCAACAGAATTTCTTGTCATAAAAATATGACATAGATTCCAAGAAAATTGATCTTTTGCTGTGTAGTATGCCCAACATTTGGACAGTGAATATGATTGAAGAAGCGAAAAGGATATTATCATTGATCATGTAGTCTTAGTCTTCAACTCAAATGATAATATGCATCAATTTACTGTAATAGTTGGCTGCATTCAATTGAATCTTGCTGCATTGATCCGTGTATGTTCACAATGTTTCTTTCTTACAGCTCTTGGGAGACATGTTACTTGATCGTTCAAATTCAGCTGTAATGACACGATATGTGAGCTCAAGAGACAATTTAAGGATTCTGATGAATCTATTAAGAGTATGTTCGCTTTTCATAAAACTTAATGACATGTCTTTTCGAATATGTTTTCTTCCAGCCTTTCATTCAATCATTTGTACTACCAACCCATTCTTCGCCTTTCCTGTTTTGCTCTCAGTGGTACAATGTGAGCTTGATTGATCAAAGTAATTAACATTTCACCCCATTGTTCTGGTGCCCATATGCTTAACTGGGAGAAAAGAGTTGGATGTAGATCTTGTTTAAGCAGACATTTAATAGTTGTTGCTGGTTCCCTTCTGCAGGAGGAAAGCAAGAGCATTCAGATAGAAGCATTTCATGTTTTCAAGGTAACATTGTTATATGATTGTGCAATATATCTGAGAGTTATTCTTGATTCACCTCCTTCCAAGTTTTTAATTTTTGTATTCATGTGTACTGGTGATAACAGCTATTTGTTGCCAACCAACATAAGCCAGCTGAAATTGTTGGCATACTCGTTGCTAATAGAAGCAAACTTCTAAGATTGTTGGGTGACTTCAAGATGGATAAACGTAAGTATTGATATTTCATTAGTTTGTAATTAATGGTGGTATCAATATCACGTTCTAAGAATCACATGTTCTTGGATTATGCAGCTGATGAACAGTTTGATGCTGACAAAGCTCAAGTTATGAGGGAAATTGCTGCTCTGGAACCTAAAAGCAGCCCTTGAGTAGCAGACTGTGTTAAGCAGAGCTGCTCTTTTTATGGAACTGTGCATTGCCAGAGTTTTATAGCCTTCATCAAGACTATGTTTTCAAGGCAAATTTCAAAATGCTTCGGATCTGTAATTTTATCACATAGGTAAAAGGTAGATAAATAAATATGCTATCATGAGCTACGTGCCTATTTGGCTTTTCCAGGTGTTAGAACAACCTTCCTCGCATCCTTGTAATTATATGCTGCTAGAGGACAGGCAATAATTTGACATCTCAAATTTGTTGGGTAACAACGGGCTTCTGTGACTTTAAGGAGGCCCAAAAAACAAAAACTTAAAAAACTACCTGTTTCCTGGAAGAGGTATTAAAGTCTGTTTTCTCTTCATCAGTTTTCCCGAACACAGATGGAATTCAAATTGGAAAACACTTCCTAAGAATTGACAGACAACAACCTGAGCTCGCCCAATAATGTACAATAATAGCAAACAAAACGACGGGTTGGAATGTGGCCCCAAATAGCCGGACTATACTCCCTTAGTATAATGCTTATACACTGAAGCATGATACTCATCCAAATCCTGAGGATTCCGGCATCTGCAATGCTAAAGAGCCTACAGTAAACATAGCACCAATCTCAAGTTTCACAGTTTAGGTGAATATAATCTTTAAAAAATTCGTTTCACGATGGGAATGAGATAAAGAATGAAATTCCACAAGACAGCACAAACATATTGTATTGGCCACTTGGCATATTCCTGACACCACACGATCAAAGCATTATTTTTATGTCGTCTCTTTCCATTCACGTCACCTTTTCTCCTTTTCTTATTTTTAATACGGAAGATTTCTGGATATTGAGCCTTCTCATTGTTTCAGGTAGGGCTCATTCTAAAAACCTAAGAAAATAATTAATAAATCATCCCAATATGACACGTGTACGAATGAGTCACGTGTGTATTGATAGAATATTCTTCCAACAAATTGAATGCCAAAGCTGAAGTCCTTTTTCTCAAGGAATTATACCGGGTATATTACTAATAGTATAATATATAGCTTATAATTTTTTAAAATATATTGATTTTTTTTATATAAGTTACACTTTGTATGTGTATAAAAATTTATTTTTTTTATTCTCATTTATTATGCATCTTTATATTAACTATCGCACATTGACCAAAAATTATATTTTATTTTCTTTTTTAATAGATTCTCTCATATATTTTTTACACATTTTTGCATTATTTTTTCACTTATTCTCTCTTACTAGCCCTCTTCATAAATAAGAATATATTCAGCAAAAATACATTTCTTACACATTATTACCTCCAATTCTAAATATAATTTGATATTAAATATAAAAAAAAACCAATTCATTTAGTTTTCTAATTTTGTCAAAAGATCCCTGTTAATTAAAGATAATAAAGGGTCTTCATCAAGTAGTAGACACCATAGGCATGATTAAAAATATTATTTTAGATAAATCAACCCACATATATTATAAATAAATAATTTAATTTTTTTAATATTCATAAATTAGTTATTCGGTTGTTATATTAACTTACAGGTTGAAGTATTTTCTAATTAATTTTAAACCATTTTTAATGTAAGTAATTTGCTAACTCAGAAGGGAGTACTACTATTTTCGTGCCAACAAAAAATTACTACTTAAGTCTCATAAAATTTCTCTCGTGTTTGCTTTGTAGTCTATAAAACCACTTTAAAACCGGAGGAGGGTTAGCGCCCAAGCACCACTGAATCATTATCCGTTAGTGAGTCCGAACGTGAAAGCTGAAGAAGTAATCATTGCCTCTCTCTCGCTCCCAGCATCACGTTTCAGAAACTCTACTCATCTCCAGATCAACCGCAAATATGGCTGACGTTGGTACGGTACCATCAATCAACCTCTTCATCATTCTTTCTTGTTTCGTCTGGCAGGGTTCTTACGCCTTTTCTGTTTTTGTTTGGATTTCACTGCAACTTAATTGAACGATAGATTCGCTCCCGGAATTCCTCGCGTCTGCAATCGATGCTGCTCGGAAAGCTGGCGAGGTCAGTTATTACTGGACTTCACTTTCTTCCCAAATCCAATATTTTTTTTTTCCCACTCCTGTTTCACTTACTCATCTCGTTTGTGCAAATGATTACCAGGTCATTCGAAAAGCGTTCTACGAGACCAAACATGTGGAGCATAAAGGACAGGTTTGCACTGCAAATGCGCTTCTACCAAACTTCGTTTTTTCCCCTAGTGATTGATTATGGGTCCCATTTGTCACCTGCCTACACAAAAGTAGATTTTTATTATTTTAAATTTTAATGCTTCTTTATCATCAAGTTCATACCAATTCGTGCATTGTTATCACCAAGGGGTATATAGATTTTTAATCTCTATAGATTGAAAGGACGGGAAAATCATTTCTGCCATGGCCGGTGCCTCACCGGCCAGCATTATGGGGCTACCGTTGATTGTTCTGAGGATTTATTGTAATTTACTCTAAAATCTTGAATTTATTTAGAAAATTTGCTAAGTGCAAACCACCTTCGCAGCAGCCGACCGTCTATTTTAGATGGTCAGTTGAACTAACAGTCACAAAAACAGCAGTGAAGTAATTTCTAGCGGAAGTGAAGAAGAACACCTGCATAACTATGAAATGTTCCCGCAAGATAAAGCGTCGAGGGCTTCCGCATGGCGGGGCTCGCGTCTCATGATCTATAGATACTTAATAAATCAGTTACTATCCCATTTGCTTTTATATGGAAAACGCAGTAGAAAACTTGAAACTGACTCCAAACGACGAGAACTTGTTTTATGAAAGTGAAGAAGAATAACAGTATACCTAAGAGAAATTCTTGAAAGATAAATGTAGAGCTTCCATATGACAGAGCTCATCTCTTGATTAAGTTGAAATATAGAAGTTTAAGAAGATACCTAGAAGGTATCTGTAAGCTATTATGGAGAGAGAAGTTGTGGGTACTCTAATTTTTCTCTGTTCTTTGAAAAATAATTCAGATGGATGGTGAGTCATAGTAATACGCATACATCGACACATGTAATGTGTTTGGTCTTCATATTTTCAGTTTTGTTACGCGTGTAGGTTGATTTGGTCACGGAAACTGACAAAGCATGCGAAGAACTCATATTTAATCATCTGAAGCAGATTTATCCCAATCATAAGGTTACTTCTGCTCTCTTTCAACCCTATGTGTTTCTTAAAAAGTTAATGATCTTGCAATTCTACATCTTTAAAGTATTCTGTTTTAAAACAATGATGATTTTATTAGTTCATTGGGGAGGAAGCTACCGCAATTCAAGGTGCTACAGAACTCACAGATGAACACACATGGATAGTTGATCCTGTGGATGGAACTACTAACTTTGTGCATGGGTAAATATCCACTCTGATTTTCAAGCTGATGCATTTGCAGTTCCATATAGAATAACCATCATTCTGCTATTTGTAGCTTCCCTTTCGTTTGTGTCTCCATAGGCCTTACAATTCAAAAAGTTCCCACTGTTGGCGTTGTTTACAATCCAATATTGAATGAGGTGAGGAATCTTCCACCCTGTAGATACTTTACTAGTGGCTTACCGAAGGATCCTGTAAAAATCCTGACGTTAGTAATGCGCAAAACATTTTTATTCAATGCTGAAAATTTGTGTGATATCTTTATTTGGTTTTGAGCTGTCCAAAGTCGGACAACTTATTTAAAACAGGACAACACTCAATTTTTTTAATGACTATTCGTCTTTATTTATTTTCTTAGTTTTCATTCTTCAAAAATGTAACCAAAATGACTCCTCGGAGGCTGTAAACTTCATGTAATTGAATCAGGAATCTGATGTTTCAATTACTTTTTTAAATATGAATTTTTTTTTTATTTATCATTTGATCAGGAATCTGATGTTTCAATTACTTTTTTAAATATGAAAATTTTGTTTATTTATCATTTGACTTAAATTGAAATTTGGAATGGCCACATGCAGCTTTTCACTGCCATTTCTGGGAAAGGTGCTCTTTTGAACGGGAACCCTATAAAAGGTGTGCATTCTTTTCTTTGTCTTTTGAATGTTAATATTTATCTGGAATTAACTGTACATGCCTATGTCTTGAATTTGTGCAGTATCTTCACAAACTGAACTGATAAGCTCTCTTCTTGTCACTGAGGTATGTCATGTTTGTTAGAATTGATTCACCTGAAAGCGACGTATCATTCTTATTCGCGTCAATATTTGTTAGTCTTCCCTTTCTCCGCTAATTTATTTCCTGCCTATGTTAACACTATAGTTGTTTCTAGGGATCGCTCAAATGTCGTTCTTGTTGTTAGTGTTAATGACTATCCTATAACTGAAACCTGTGTTAGCTGTAGAATATGTGTTTGTGTGGAATAACCATATAAGTGCGACATACTGCTCTCAGCTAATCAAATATCTGTATTGCCAATTGCATGGACAATATAAAGCATAATTATTTTCGCTGTTCTTTGGCGCTTTCAGCTAACCAATATCTGTAAGCCCCAGCCCGACCACATGGACAATACGAAGCACAACTATGTGCTTAGTTCTTTGACAGGAACCCAATTCGGCTTTATCCATGCCATGGCTAGCTCATTGTAATAAGTAGCTGATCCCTATATAACTTGACGTTCTTGTTTAACACATTGGGATCAGATATATTACCTTCGGTCCTAATTATAAGAACCAGTTGACTAATTTGAAGAGATTAAGGAAGTAAGTTGAGTTAGTTATTTGTCCTAAATATGTGTTGTTTTTCCTAAAATATTCTTACTAATCAAGTGTATTGACTAGAAATATTATTATTAGAAGGGCTACTTTGTAAAAAAATGTATAAATATGAGAGACAAAGTGGATTGGGGTCTTAAATTTAGGACTAAAATAAAAGTCAAACGGGGTCTTATATTAAGGATCGGAGGTAGTATTATTTTGGAAGTCTGTTATTGTGAGAAGTCTTATGACCCAGGGGACCCCAGGATTTAGGTAAATGAAAGTCCAGGACGTTCTTGCTGAATATATTGGCATCAGATTAAATGTCTATATCTAGATTACCTTGGAAGTCTCTGACCTTGGGAAAGGAATGGGAAACTAGAAAGGGATTAGGTATTGAAATCAAGACATCAAGGTCATTGGCGGCATCACATCTCAATTCTTACGCGCTGCCGTATGTCATCTTTGTCAAGTATCATAAATGTTCATACACTGATATAAACCAACTCATCTTTGTCGTCTTTCATTTTACAAGTGTCGAAAATGTTTTTGCCTAGACAATTAACAATGAATCCATTGGTTTTCTAATTACTAAACTATTGCAGTGGTGGTGAAGTAACCCTTCAAGGGTCTGTTTCCGTAGTGCTTTAGGCAAAACTCCCGCCAAAATTATGCAGCAGAGTTCCTTGTAGGATAAGCTAGTGCTTCTCAATATCTTGGATACTTTTTGGATTCTTTAAAACCGTGTTAGAGCAGGGAATTCAAAGACATGTTTTCACTGCTACGCATAACTTCAATGTTGGAAGTAGTTGGCTTATTGCCTGCATATGTTGATCATAGCCTACGTAATCATGACCGTTGACGGCATACTTGGAAACTACAAGTGGAATGCAGCAATAACTGTGAGTTAGTCGAGAAAGTCTTGAAATTTTATTAGCGCGGAATAAAAGTTTGTATTAATAGGGAGAAACATAATAATCTAATGAGAAAACTTCAAGCATGTATTTTGGCCAATCATTATGCTACAAAGCCAGCAAAGCAGGGGCAGAGAAGGTGGCTGCTAAGATTACAGATACCTGGAATACGAAATTAACGTGGGAATTGGGATATAACCCAAAGATTCATTGACATTCATATCTGAATGTTATGCCTGTAAATCAAAGTTAACTCTGAAATCTCAGACAATTTCCCTTTCCGAATGAGCAGTGTGGAACAAATCGTAACAAGTCAACAGTCGATGCCTATACAAAGAGGGTCAATAGCTTGCTTCCCCAGGTAAAACCAGGACTTGCCATGGAATCTTCTGCACTACAATGAAATAATTAACGTAACTGTCATAACTACGTCTTTCCAATTATTAGGTGCGATCTCTTCGAGCCTGTGGTTCCTTGGCTTTGAACCTTTGTGGAGTTGCATGTGGAAGGCTTGATATATGCTTTCAGCTTGGCTTTGGTGGTTCTTGGTATAGTTTTTTCCCAAGTCATCCTTTCATATATATGCTTTCAGCTTGGCTTTGGTGGTCCTTAGTTGCATGTGGAAGGCTTGACATAAGCTTTCAGCCTTTTACAGCATTTAGTTATTCTGAATAATATAATGTATCAAAAGCTTAATACTTAATACAGCACATAATTGACTCGTTTTTTATATTTATCTCAATTACTTTGAATAACATACAGTACTGGATACAGAGTATTTTTAGGCCCTGCATAATTGGTGGACTTTTCAGGGATGTAGCGGCCGGTGCTGTCATTGTTAGAGAAGCTGGAGGTGTTATGTATGATCCGTAAGTGGCTTTCCTTAGACATCCTTCTACTTAACGGATGGGATTTGTATGAAATGAAAGGTTCTAGAAAGTCTGTCTTTGCATCAGTTAGGTAAAAAGTCCATTTCGCTGTTGATATGGCTCTTAATGACTTCTTTCTATGCACTTTAACCAAGCCATGCTTTTAATACAAAACTTAAGAGCCAAATCCGCACTAGATTGGATGGTGATAGGTACATACGGTAGAGGGGGAAAAAAAGAAACTTTTTTTATTACGCCAAAATCTGATGGGTTTGTTGCTTCAGTTCTGGTGCAGAATTTGACCTTACAGCTCAGAGGGTGGCAGCCTCAAACCCTTCCCTGAAGGATAAACTGGTGGAGGCTCTGCGCCAAGTAGAGTGAGAAGAAACTTTCATTCCATGATGAAGAAAATGATAATTCACCTTATGCTTCCTGCCTCTGCTACTCCATTTCCCGTTTCATTCAATGCTTCCACGTGGGCTGATTTCAATTATTTTTCCCCATCTTTATAGACGAAGCTAATGGCTTGCATGCCGTGGCACCGATTATCGTCTTTTTAATATTAAGATGAACTTAAGTCTTCTCGCTTTAGATATTCTCCACTGGGTTTCCCATGTAACGGTACAATGAATATTTCAGACGCGTTGGATATGAGAGTATCTCACATCACATGATATAATCAAACCTCACAATATTTTATATATATTTATGTTTGGTATGGTAATTAAAAATTCTGATTGAATATAGAATATATAAAGCGTTTTATAGAAGCTAAAATGTGACGTGAGATTCGTCAGATTTTCATTGGCTCTCTATTTCACGTGGGTGATGACGCAAATTGGATTGTAATTTGGCAAGTTAACATGGCCAATGAAAGAGTTCCAAGCACCTCTATTCCTTGATTAAAGTCTTCTTAATTCTTTAATCGCTCGTGGCCACTTATCTCTCTCTAGTCTCTATCTCTCTCTTGTTGACTTCGTTGGCCGAAATATGAGAAAAATTGCACGTAGTGACAGGAAAGCGGTGAGAGATGAACGTATTGGTATTTGAGTTGGTTTCAGATTTTCGGAACACGTTCTGGCTTTGAACAAGAGACACATAACATCAAACAATTTCAACATTTCCATTTTTTCCCCTTTTGGTGTGACCAGCAGACCCCAGTGAATATATTCTATTGCATACTGTCAATGTTCGCCCAAGTGCACTACACTTCAAAGATCTCCGCTGTTCACTCAAAAGCCCAAAACTTAATGTAATCACATATTTCAAACATGTTTAGGTATTATGTTTGACATTTTAAAATGTTCCCCCTTTGTATAATCTTATTCACCAATTTCAAAGAAACGAAACGCCTTATATTCTTTTGCATTAGCTACAAGCCCACGTGTTCGCCAGCTTTTATTCAAACTCCATTCTTTTGCTGCCATAAAAATTTCACATTTGTGTAACAATCTCACATTGTCAAACCCATCTCCCATATGTAACGGATACCTTCAATTTTGCTCCAACGGTGGGCAATGGAAGACATTTAAATTTTAAAGCTCAAGAAATGTAGGAAGTGTAGAAAAAAATATGTATATAAATACAAATATAAAAGTGACAGATACAATGTATCCTTCCTCTCCAGTGGCAAGGAGAAAACCACGCCACAAGAAATTCCTCACACTCCTCTTCTGTCAAAGAATAACTAAAAACTGAGAAGCTAAACATCTGGGGGCATCCTAAATCCCCTCAGTTCATGTGAGCTAAATATACAAAGTGATCCCTACAACAAAATCCACATAGATAGATGCAAAAATATAACAAAAACCAAAAACAAAGGTGAGTAACTCGCACAAAATAACCATACCTAAGGCCTCGGAGCCGAACCAGACTTATCAAAGGCAAGTCCAGTTTCTAGGCAAATTAGTCTAAACCTGTGTTGGCCTAGAACCATACCCATTCACTCCATTAACGCCATGTGAAGTCTTTCCCTCTGATTTCCTCCTCTTCAACACTACGATCCATGTGTAAGCTTCCAACAACACAGCAATGCCTCCCAAAGCTGCAATAATGCCTATGTAAGCATGCTTCCAGTCATTGTAACGATCTTGAACTGAAGCCTCCAATGCTTCAAACCCTTTGAAAATGTTAATAATGCTGATAATAATGGTGGCGTATCCAATCGTGTGGTGGTAGATATTCCAGTAAAACCTGTACTTGTGGTCTTTGTTTGGCCTCAGAAGCAGAGCAAACACCTGATTACACCAACAACAAGGTCACAACAAGAACAACAGAACAGACAAGAGCATGTTGAGGTAGTTGTTCCTCAGAAACACAAGATTTTGGAACATGTGTTTTCACCTGAAGGGTTCCGAGGCAGAAGAGGACGATGCCAAGTCTTCTGTGGGTGGTATATTGTATACCAACAGAGTCACTGCCTAGTTTGAGACCAGTGCCCCAACCAGCAACACCAATTATGTAGGCAGATGTTTGGCATGTCACATGAAGGTAAAACCAAGCAGGGTCTGCAGATTTGAACACCTTCAAGTACCTTGCGATTATGGCTCCCACAGGCATCAGGATTCCCCAGCTCACTGCATTAAGCACTCCGTGTGTCTGAAAAAATTCATCATACCGTTACAGTTCTGTTCAGATTATCAGGTTTATTTAATCTTAAGCTTTAAAGTCTTCAAGTATGAATTTTGGGGAAGATGACAAAATTTAGGCTGTTCATGAAAATTGCAGAATTTGGTAGCATACTTATAAAAGATGATGAGAGATGACAAAACCCAGCGGAATAATTTAGCCCAAATTAGATCTTTCAAACAAGAAGTTCAAAATACTTAAATTTTAACAGTAAATAAAGAAAAAATAACTCACGTTTCTTCTTCTTCTGATTGAGTTTGCCGATCCGCCCGCTCCTTGACTCTCCCCGGAAACGAGGTTCAAGGTCTCCTTGGCGTTGGTATTATCGGAGATCATAGCATGACCCTGAGGAGTCGAACCAGAGACGGCCCCTTCCTGCCAAGTATGAATCATAGAACTGGCACGTCCGTTAAGAGTGAGAGTAGCGAATATGATAACCTCGTTGTTCTCATATGTCGCCGTCAAACCCGACACCGGAAAACTCAGATTCGCCGCCTGTAACGTGGTGCCAAGGCTGGAGATTGGCGAGGTATGAGCCTTTGCGGTCCCATCGGACCCTACTATAGCCACCAGGGCTTGGGCTCCGATCATGGCGGCGGACGCGCTACCAGTGGGGTTGAGGGCCCAGGCGACCCATCTGTTCGACGAGACTCTACTGTGCCGGTAAGCGACCTCGAGCTTTCCGGTGGACTGTTGATAGGTCCAATGGAGGTAAGAGCTCAAGTAGGGGAGATCACGGCACGTACTGAAGACCCTGTTTGAGGCAGAGCTAGGGAAGCTGAGGGTTTTACAGGTTTGAGCAGAGGATGTCAGAAACAAAGAGATTAGGATGGAGAGGGCGAACCCAAATTTCAACACAGCAACCATGGTTTTCATCTCCGATTACTCCCAACAAAAAGGGAAGGATCTTCCCAGAAAGGTTTCAACTTTGAGATGGATTCAAAAATTCCCAGAAGCAGGGAACAATGGGTTCGCGTTAGATTGTGTTGAGTATAGCAATGGCGAGAGAGAAGAGGAGGAAGAAGGGGTAATTATAGAGAGTTGGTGGGTGTGGGTTTAGGTGTGGTTGGGTGAAGTCCTTTCGGCTTTGGGAGAAGGAAGCTTCCATGTGGAAAAATAGGAAAGAGTCTCCGATTTATTCCACAAAGAAACTCCCAGATTTTGGAATTGCCATTTACCCCTTCGCCACTCGCAAGTTTTCTTTATATTTCATCTTTTCATAGCTTTTCTATTCAACAACCATCCCTTTTCACACTTGACGGGCGTGTTGAATAAGGAAGGACGCTTTTTCTTTTCTTTTTTTATAATTATTATTCAATCATCTTCATTCCTTTTTGTTTTTTTGCCAACAATCATCTTCGTTTTTAAATTAATTTCATCAAATAAAAGTATAACTGGAGCTTTTCTTTTTGTTGGAAAAGAAGAGAATAAATGAGTTTGTTTGTGTTTTGTTTTATATTGATTGATGTCGGTGATTAGTTTTTTTTTACTCTGTTTTAAATGTTTATTTAAAAATGATTTTAAAAATTTATATGATTGATGAATTGTTTGGGTGAACAAAATAAATTTTTTTTTCAGCGCAGAAGAGTTTCTTTAAAGCGAGTTGATGAGGGGTTTTATTTTAGATCATCTATTTTGAGTTTTAACTGGACTGGAAAAAAAGAGGATGTGATATCAGCTTTGATTCCAAAAAACACACTTGATTTGGCTGTGTAGGAAGGAATTTCTTTTATATTTAAATTTAAATATTTTGTTTTTTTAAGCTTTTCTCACCATGAAACTCGCCTTTTGAAATTAGAAATTTACATTTGCTAAAAAAACAAACAAACAAAGAAATATATGGTTCCTGTTTTGCTGGGCCACAAATAGTTTTCCACTTTTCCTAGATTGACACTTTCTATTATCTTGTGAAAATGGTGATAAGCACTGCAAAATCGCAAACTTGTCTTTAAAAAATAGGAAGTTGCCAACTTAATTTTGATGATTATATATGGTGATGAATGGGCTATAATAATATTTTTTACATTAAAATTTAGATACAAAGTTAATGTTCAAATATACATTTTTAATATGTGTGTACGTGTGTCAAACTTCTGCTAAAAAAAAAAATGTTTGTCTGTGCAAAGGATTCCATCTAAAATCGAAAAAGATACTTATTATGATGGCGTTATCATCAACCACGACAGATAATAAACCGAAAGATCCTTGTTTATGACCGTACTCAGTATAATTGTGCTTAAGGACTTATAATTTGCAAAATTTAGGTTTGAGTATTCCAAGACCGTACCATTATCAATATTTACATAAATTGTTATCACATCAAATTAAAAAAATGCAAAATTTTCTTAAATTTATCAAAATGAAAGTCTTGTAGCTAGGTGTAATTTTGTTGAAAAAAGATGAAGGCCGAAGTGGTAAGAAATATTAGGAAATATTTGTAGAGATGTATGAGTAAAGGGATGAGAAATTTGGTGGTCAGTTTAACCAAACAGCGTCTGATTTGAGCCAAGTGTCTGGGCTTAGGTAACAAGGCATTGACTCTCCCCCCTTTTCGCCTCATTCACGTCAATCTTCCCATCATTTTGCTTTTCATAACATTATTATTTCTAAGTCAATCTTAAAGATTTCCGTATAACGAAATTTAGCCCCTCGTTGTGGTATCATCTCTTTGAATTCTTGATGTTTCCGATTTGATTTTTGATTCTGTGGAACATATTTATTGCCACTTCATTTTACAGATTTGGACATAATTAACGTAATGATAATTAGATAGCAATTGGAGAAAAAAAATTGCTTTTTGGTTGAAGCAAACACCTTTTAAGTATGAAGAAAGAGAGCACTCTGCCTTTATATGATGTGAATTTTGTACATGTATCACAAATTTGGTAACGCTTTTTGAGCCTGTTTATTTCTTTCGATTATTTTGATTTCATATTCTTCGTTAAATCAAGTCAGATAAAGAAATATAGCTACTAACAAACGCTTGGTTTTAGTAGATAGAAATTTGACAGCCTAAACATGAGGTTTTGAATTTAAATTTATGTGAATACAAAAAACACTCTCAATTAAATCCAATAATATACTTCAGTTTAATTCAGCCAGATAATCATATAAAATTATATATATATATATGTTAGTTGGAATGGTACAAGGGGAATGTAAGAGGGAAAGAGTCAAGTGTGCGTTAGGGATATGAAGATTAATGCAAGTTTAGGGGTTATAGTTTGGTGCGAGGATTTAGTCAATAATGTGGGAGTTGGACACCTTCACATTGCAGGTTGCTTAACTAGTCCAGCCACGCAAAGTCATACTCATTTAGGGTTCAGGCCAACCCCAACCCTATGTGTTATAATATTCATATAGCTCTGTTTTCATCGATTTAAAAACTAAAAAAAGAAAAAGAAAATTATGTAGATATTTCTTCCCAAATAAATGAGATAAGGAAATTGGTTATTATTCAAACTAGCAATTATTAATTCCCAAAATTAATATGTACTCACCCGTATACACATGCGTAATCATCGTATTTATTATTTAATCTCTATTCTACAAGCACATGGAGAAATTAAATGGAAGGTTTGGTGATTTGCTTAATATACTAAAGACGGTAATTTTAGTTTTGACTGAGCAGGCGTTTGTATAGTCTAGGCACAAGCCGGGAGAGGGACGGTGTTGGCGCGTGCGGCGGGGTTGAAGTGAGAACCCATCTTGCGGGTCCCACCGGTTCCATGGTCAAATTGTCCGCGGAGATGTGGGCCCCATCCGCCACGCGCTCCTTTAATGATCTTGGGGCGTCGTTTTGAGGAGTTTCAACGCTCCGACCCTGTCGCCCGCCAATTTTAAACGCATTAAACGCTACGGCAACGCAAGTTGTCCCATCCGTTTTCATCACTTTAAAAGTATTTTTATGATTTATTTTTATAAAATAAATATTCAGAAGAATTTGTTTTGTTTTATAAAAAAATATTTTTGATGGCCGCCAAATACCTCTTATTTCTTTCACAAATGTGTTTATTGTGTTTGTAATTTTAAAAATATAAAGACTAATCATGTAAGATAATGAAATTTTATTAATAAAAAATACGTTTCAAGAACTAAATTAATAACCAAGACAGATTAGAACCTTATGCCTATAATTTTATTCAGCTTCACGCCCATGTGCATGAATTATTTTAAATTTTTTTAAATATTTTATTTATATAATAGTAATACGTAACGTAAGTGAAAGAAATGTACGTTGTTGTATTCTCTCCCCGGAATGTTTCATTCTGGTAACGTACGGTTTTGTTGACCGAAACCAACGTCACGTTCATGAGCATATTTCTCATGAAAATGAAATGAAGTCGCAAAAATTTAATTTAAAAACCAAAATTTTCTCCTATGTGATGTAAGGAAAATTACATGGGTCGTCCCCTTGTACAATTTTTTGGTTTTATGAGATATCATGCACGTGTGAACACAATCCTCTTAACTTGTAATTTGTCGAAATTAAGTTGGAACCAATTACGGCAGTTAATTAAACATTACGAAATAATCACGTACGAATTAATAACTCGTTCCCTCTAGGAGTTAGTGTTTATTAGTGGTATTTTACTACAAAAGAAAGTTTGGGATTTGGTCGTTAAAGCTTGCGTTTACTTTGTCAACGTAAACGCTTAGCAGTGTAATTAACTTATTATTAAGCTTTTACTTAAAGATCTCACGGACTTGCGGTGTCCCTTTTCCGTGTTCACAAGTCTTTAGCCTTTTGGATTTTGCATGGGGTCACGCCCCACGCCATTCCTTCCCCAAGCCTTTCACTATGGAGGTTGGTAAGAAAAAATAATTATTATGCTTTTAATAAATATTTTTCTAAATGATTTTTTCCAATGATTTTCCAAACAATATTTCCTTTCATCCCTATATTATAGGATACAGAAAATCTTCTCGTCAAAATTAATAAAGCGAGGTGGTTATGAGATGGGGAAACAAAAAAGAGGGATGCTTAAATCATTAAATTTATTTAAAAATAAATAAACTTAATGATAATTAAAGTTGACCTTGTTTTAGTTTTGATTCTTAAAATTTGAAACTAATGTTTTTTCTTGCCAACCAAAACTAGTGTTTTAAGTTCTTGAAATTTGAAAACCACATTTAGCTTCCAAAGACTAAAACTTATAGATAGAGTAAATTTCAGAACTAAAGTAACCTTTGTCAATTCATGATGTATGTGTGTGTATATAACCTTGGAAGTTTATTTCTCTGGTTCGTGCATTCATTATACATCAATGGACGTTTATTATCTAATAATTATAATTCTTTCACGCGAAAAAAGGGGATGATGAGATAAGATTGAATTTATTGATATTCCAGCATATATAATCCTGATCACTACTAGCTACAACAATTATAGAAATATCCATTATTAGTAATATTTTTAATTAATTTCCTGCTCTTCATCATTTATCAAATAAAAACGAGTAGAGATATATCACATGTAGCAATTGTCAGGACGTACGTTGCATGTGACTCACAGCTTAGCTGTGGTTACTGAATCACAAGATTAAAAATAATAAATGTCAACACGCTTCTTTTCCAAAAATAAAAAAGCTTTAATTTGGCATCTCCCTGACAGGAAGAGACAGTGAGTTTTGATTTTGTATTTAAAAAATTTAAAAGCAAGCGATCATATTAATTTGAAAATGCAGGAGGAGGGCCAATATTGCAATACGTATGAATTGATGTTGATATAAAAAAAATTCCAAAACACAGAAAACGGCAGGATTAGAATATTATAAAATTATTAAAGACGAAGAAGAAGACGTCATGGCAGAAGTAAGCCAAAAAAGGCGACTAGCTTGGAAGCGTGGGGCACCATGGGGTAGGGCGCGTGGCATTAATGTGCTATAAACTATTCATGAAAAGCTAAGAAACCCACGGCAACTTTGGAATGATATAATTTAAAAAAGGGTTAATTAATCCGCAAGTCCTTATAGTTTTAACGAATTTTAAATCAGGTCTCTATAGTTTTTTTTCTTTTTATTAGATCCTTATACTTTTACCTTTTTTTAATTAGATCCTTGTATTTATTTTTCTTTTAATTAAGTCCTTATAATTTCATTAAATTTTTAATCAGGTCCATGTAGTTTTAATTTTTATTTATTAATTAAATATAAGCTTAATTAAATAGATTAATAATGAAATATAAAATATTAATAAGTAAATTAAATTAATAATTATGTAATAAAAAATAATAGAATTAATTAATTCAGGAAAATTTTTTAGAACAATTAATTTTTTTGGTGAAAAAATTAAAATCATTATAATAATTCAATATCTTTAGAATATTATTGTTTATAAACTAATATTAAATAATATATATTATTTTATGTTTATATAATAGTACTATTAGAATTCATAAAATAAAGAATAAAAAATTCAGGGACTTAATTAAAAATAAAATGAACTTATAAGGACTTGATAAAAAGAAAAATAAATACAAGGACCTAATTAAAAACAAGTGAAAGTATAAGGATCTGATAAAAAGAAAAAAAACTATAAGGACCTAATTTAAAATTCGTTGAAACTATAAGGACTTGCGGATTAATTATCTCTTTAAAAAAATAACAAAGATATTGTCACTTTTTTTTAATAATTGAGTCATACTGCTCATGCTTACCAATCGTGTTTTATAATTTATACTTCGCAATATTTTTATAGTATATAATATTTGGTGAAAAAATGACGACTGTATAAGTTAAATAGGCATTAGCGGCGTGTTTATGGTTTAATTAAGAGAAATAGTAAATGAAAGTGGGAATGAAACCAACAATTAGAGAGGATGTGAGGGCACGAACAAGTTTTGATCATATATGGTGAAAGGCATTATGACCATTTAATAATCAGATTTTAAGTTTAAATTCGTGTGAATGCAAATAAATTCTTAAGACAATTGTTATGATTAAGCATATATTCCTCTGGTTATTAATATAAGATCTAAATGGGTATACGACCTATTTTACATATTTATTAATTTTTTCTAAATTAATCATATTGATATTCCCCAATAATCAAGTAGAGGAGAGCGGGAGGGAATTAAAGAATATGCTTATGGTATTTTAAAAAAACACATATCACATTAACTAATTTAACTAATATATTTAATCTATTCAAACTAATTAATTAGGTTTTATATTAAATACTGAAAGAGTATTATATAACTATATATGTACTACCTTCGGTCCTAATTATATGAGCCAATTGACTAATTTGAGAAGATCAGGAGAGTAAGTTAAGTTAGTCATTTGTTTTAAATATGTATGTCTTTCCTAAAATATCCTTACTAATCAAGTGTATTGACTAAAACTATAATTATTAGAATGACTATCTTGAAAAAAATTGAGTAAATATGAGAGACAAAATGAATTGATGTCTTATATTTAAGACTAAAATAAAAATCAAACAGGATTTTATATTAATAACTGGAGCTAGTATATATAAAGAATGAAAAGGAGGTTAAGGGGGGGATGAGGAGGAATGTAAGTTGAGTAAATGGTAGGTGAGCCGATACTCTAACACAAATGCTGCCTCCATTGACCATTCCCATTTCGTTGGTTCGTTCGTTCAGTCTTGGCTCGATTTCATTGGTTTTACCTTTTAAGTTTCATCCAGCATCCTCCTCCACTCGTCCCCTCCTTTAAATATTCCTTCTAGAAGCTTTCAGCTTCAAGACTCATTAGTCGCTCAACGCTTTTTTTTTTTTTTGGGCCTCGAGGTCCTTGTACTTAAAAATGCAAGCATCATGTTAATTCTCACCTTATCACGCGCATTGACACTAATGTGTCCTCCTAAGCGTATTTTGATTATTGTTAGCACCCATATCAACATCGACCGTCAAACACGCCCTTAAATTTTGTGGAGAGCAGCACAGTGCATAAGGAGCCGACCCCAACAACCCCAGGTTGCTTGACCTTTTATACATATACACACACTACTATCAATATTTAATATAAGAACACGTTTGATTTTTATTTTGATGTTAAATATAAGACTCCAATATATTTTATTTCTCATATTTATTTTTTCCTAGTACAGTCTTTGTAATAATAGTAGTTCTATCTAATACGCTTAATTAGTAAGAATACTTTTAAAAAAATAATATTTATTTATTATAAATAATTAACTTAATTAATTTTTTTAACTTACTCAAATTAGTTATTTTTTTTTTCTAGCAATGGCGCTATCAAGATGCCTTGATTTGGATTGTGTTGGGCCTTGAATGGGCCTGGTGCGGTGGGCTCTTTTAAACTCTCGTGCGGCCTGTGATATTCCCTCACGTGTGCACAACCATACGCAAGGCTTAAGTCACAAGCAGCGTAATCATTTCAATTCATCATGAACTCGCATGTTCCCCCGGCTTCGTCTCCTATTTGCAACTACCTCCCTTGTAAAAGCTAATTAATTAATTTAAGTAAATTAAAAAAATAAATTAAATTAGTTATTTATAATAAATAGATGTTATTTTTAAAAAATATTTTTACTAATCAAGTTTATTAGTTAAAATTACTATTATTAGAAGGATTATCTTAAAATAAAAAATTAATAAATATAAGATACAAAATAGATTGAAATCGTCTTATATCTACAATCAAAATAAAAATCAAACAAGATTTTGTATTAATAACTAAAAGTAGTATTTCATCTTCATATCTGTCGTTTTTTAATACTTTTTGTTTGATTTAAAAATATTTATTTGTTGTTTTGGACTTAACAACCTTTTTTTTTTTTGGGTCAAACTTCACTCTTATTCAACGAGTGATCGTATTTTTAAAAACCCGTTATAATTTTATGACTTCTAAGATTCATATATAAAGCTACTTTCACATTATTTTGATCAAGATTAATGAGTCTTCCAATGCACAACACATCTCTTTTTTTGTTGGTTGTCAGATCTTCCTTTTCACTTATTGTCGTTTTTTATTATATGAGAATTAAATGATGGTATTTTAGTCCATATAATAGTATTTTAAACAGATTAAAAACTTCTTAGCTGCGTTACCTTAAAACAACAATAGATATAAAAACATGAGGTGTTCTCGTGTAAACTCATTAAACATTCCGGAAAAAAGAGCTTAGAGCGTTGGACGGGCAACTCAAACATTGATTTACGCAGGTGCATCAAAATTTCGCCGACTGGTTTATTGAGGCGATTAACATTTAACCCCATTCCTAAAAGTACTTTAACTGAATTATTGGGGTGTATTCTCAAATGCTACCAAGTAATAACACTAAACCAAGAAAAACATTGACCTGGATAATCAAGCACAACAAACGATTTCTTAAACAAACTAAACGGTGGACCATTAATATAAAACTCTCAACTTTATTCTATACCCATGTCATTTATCACATTACTGAGTAACTAAGTCCAGTCTTTAATATAAGATGTCAAAACTAGCTAGATTTTATATTCAACAGCGGATTTATTAAAATGAAATTACATCCATGAAGACCTGACCACGGCGGTTTCTTAATCAAATGACATGTGGACAAAGATACTGTATATGTGTGTGGCATGCATAAGTAATAACTGAATCAAACAAGATTCAAGGTCTCCTTGGCGTTGGTATTATCAGAACTCATGGAATGAGCCTGAGGAGTAGAGCCAGAGACCACTCCTTCCTGCCAAGTATGAATCATCGAACTGGCACCTCCATTGAGAGTGAGAGTAGCGAATATGATAATCTCCCTGTTCTGATACGTCGCCGCCAATCCCGACACCGGAAAACTCAGATTCCCCGCCTGTAACGAGGTGGCATAGCTGGAGATTGGCGAGGTATACGCCCTGGTGGTCCCATTTTGTAGTATGGCTACCAGAGCTTGAGCTCCGGGCATGGCGGCGGACACACTGCCGGTGGGGTTAAGGGCCCAGGCGACCCATTTGTTGGTCGAGTTGATTCCGCCGTGCCGGTAGGCAATATCGAGCTGGCCGGTGGACTGGTTGAAGGTCCAGTGGAGGTGAGAGCTCAGGTGGGGGAGATCACGACACCTGGAGAAGACTCTGCTGCTGTTGAAGGTGTAGTTGGTGCAGTTTTGAGCAGAGGACGTGAGAAACAGAGTGGTGAGAACAGAGAAGCCTAGCGCAAGCTTCAACATGGCTTCCATGATTTTGACCTTCCGAATTAGAAGGAAAGATTCCAACTTTGAAAGAGAACTCAGAGGAAGTAATAACGGGTGCGTGTGTTTGTATGCTTTGATTCTGAATAGGAATGGCGAGAGAGAGAGAGGTGAAGAGACGGGGATTTTATAGGGAGTTTAACGTGAGAGTCAAGTAGTTAAGTTGAAGAAATTTATATGATAAAATATTTTAAAAATTAATTAAATTCAGTTTTAAAATAAAAATTGATAATCAAAATGTGGTTAGTGAAGCATTGTAAACAAATAGGCTATGGCGGCAAAGTCATGGAAGAATCATTCCGCCGGTATAGCTCTGCGTGTCATTGGACCACATCACCACCGGAACTTGAACTCTATCACAGAATCAAGGAATCAGTTTTTTTTCCAAAAGTTAATAAATACTCCCACAATTCTTAATATAACACCCATTTAATCTAATTTGATTAGATTAAAAAAGTTAGGTAAGTTAGTTAATTATAAGAAATGTAACACGTTTTTTTCTAAAATATCATAATCATCTTTCTTAATACCACCCTCTCCTCTTCTACTTGATTATGATTGAGGAAGTATCTATAGAGGTAATTTAGAAAAAATTGATAAATATGAGAAATGGGTCTTATATTTAAAACCAAAACCAACTCAACAATTTAGTCCTATATTAAGGATTGGAGAAGTATAAAAAAATAAAATTGATAAACATTTTATAGTTAAGACTAAATCTAATTTCTCAACTAAATCTTATATTAAAAATAATACAAAAAAATTTAGAGTTTATGCAACGCGTTATCTACTGATAAGACTTTACAAAGTTTTTAAAATGTACTCCTCCGGTCCTTAATATAAACCCAATTCTTGAGTTAGTTTTAGTCCTAAATATAAGACTCATTTCTCATATTTATCAATTTTCTCTAAATTACCCTTATAGATACTCCCTCAACTATAATTAAGTAAAAGAGAGAGGAGGTATTAAGAAAGATGATTATGGTGTTTTAGGAAAAATGTGTCAATTTTCTTATAATTATCTAACTTACCTAACTTTCTTAATCTAATCAAATTAGTTAAATGAGTCTTATATTAAGGAGCGGAGGAATAATTTAGATTTTACAAAAAATGGACGTGGAAGAGAAATTGTTTGGCATGGTTAAGAATATTTTGCATAGGACGGAGTCTGAGTTGAAGACTCGTAGTAACGTGTGGAAGAGGAGCCACACTCCTTCAGACATTTTGACCTTTAAACGCCACAATTGGAGAAAATGACAATCATGTTCTCAAGATTGATGCTAAATAAATTTCTAACGTTTGTAAAATAACTTCATTATTAAATTCTTAACTGTCAAAAACTCAAAATAGGAAAGTCTCGTGATAAAAATACGTAGTTTAGTTAATTTTTTTTAAAAAATAAATTGCAGATACCGAATAATTAAGTTATAAATATGATCTCGACTCTCCAGCCACCATCTCATGCTCACAATCCTATATACTGAATTTTAAAAAGAAATAAAAAATTATAATGGTGCATTTTATTTGAAGCTTTTTTTTAATTAATATCTACATTTTATATTGATCACGGTACGGTTTCTTTTCCAAAATATTGTGAACAGAAACGTAGCTATTTATCATGAATGTTATAATAATTACTACTCTTCTCTATCGTAAATATAAAACCTATTTTTTAGTATAAATTTTATATTTTATACTAAAAATAGGTTTTATATTTAAGACTAAAAGAATATTATTTAATATTAACATACTAGATAATTACTGGTGGAACAAATTTATGAAATGATGCCATCTTTCGAGATAGTTTTTATTTTTCAGAATGAGATTACCGTATTAGTACGATTCCTCTCACTTTGGGCGGCGATTAGTTTTAGTTGTCTAGGGACAACAAAGAAATACTATCTCCGGCTTTAATTATAAGAGTCAATTGACTAATTTGAAAAAATTAAAAAAATAAGTTGAGTTAGTTATTTGTCCTAAATAGGTGTTATTTTTCCTAACGTATCATTGCTAATCAAGTGTATTAACTATAACTATCATTGTTAGAAGGGCTACTTTGAAAAAAAAAAATACAAATGTGAAAGATAAAGTGGATTTAGGTTTTATATTGAGGATCAAAATAAAAGTCAATAGGGTCTTATATTAAGGACAGGAGATAGTATTAAACTAAATGAGTTAGGAGAAAAATTCACGTAAATTACATATTCAAATTTTTTATGCACGGAAAAAAGGTACAAAGAATGATATTGGCATTATTATTTTGTTTTTGCTAAGCACGTGTATCTTCAGAAGCAATTTTATTCAAAATAATATCTGATACTAAAATGAGCACTTTTTCTAATGAATATTCAAATTTTGATTTCCAACATTATAATAAACTAGTATTTTTTGTTAGACCCAGTCATTATTGAAGGGTGGAAAAAGGAAGGAGGGAGAGAGACAAATATTGTTCCATGATGTCAAATCGGAAAATGAGTTCAAAAAAAAAATCGGAAAACTTGCGTGGACCGCGGCCCAAAGATCCATAGGAAGACAGAAACAAGGCTTCATGGGCTGTGACCTTTGGGGCTAGGCGCCACCTCATTTTTCTGGCCTCGATTATTTGAAGACAAAAGAGAAGAAGCATGACAGATCCACTAAAAGAGATGAGCCATGAAGACCTTGTTATTAGACTATGTCCTGACCCTGTCCTTCCATCTGTTCCTCCCAAGGTTCAATAACCTCCAATGCAAACCTTTTAAAGATTTCTTGAAACTCGTTGCTGACTTTGGAACCTGCAATGATCTTCAAGCCTGGGTTCAGCGTAGTGTGCGTAACTTTTATTTTGAAGAAAATTTGTTCGAATTCCACAGATACATAACAAATAATGAATAACGTGTTTTATTTCTCTCGTAACGTCTGGAAAGTGCATTCCTCGTCTCAAAGTGTTGTCTCTCTCTTTATACATGTACACGGGTGGTGGCTCTCTCTTTCACCTTTATAGATATCTTGCTACTTATTTTTTATGAACTTTAAAATGAAGCATATCATTCGCAATAAGTTTAGCAGCAGGATCTCCCACAACTTGCTAGTGTGTTTTCAGGGGCATCATTTTTCCTCCACTTGTGTGTTTTGAAGACATTGGTGATGATGGCGAATATTAAAAAGCAGAATAAAAGGGAAAAGCAGCTACATGATGTGTGAGTTTGGAGAATTCCACGCCCAATGATTCATTTCGTTAGGTATTGTGATATCTATACTCAAACCCCAAAATACTAGAACTGAACCAATATTCAAATTTTCACTAAAAAAATATTCAGTTTCAAACAAGATTTTGATCAACATTAATTCTCTTTATCATAGGCCCATTGCTTCATGTCATTAGGTATTCTGATGTTCTTACTCACAAATCAAATGTTAATTCCTGATAACATGATGAATTAATATTCGAATCTTTGTTTAAAAAATAATTATGTTTAATACCCAACTGTAGCTTGAATAAACAGGTGGCTGGCACAAAACACGCACATATTCGCCCTCTGGCCATCAGAAATTAATTCTACTAAAAATTATTGTACAAATTAATAAATGTTAAGTGAATATTGTTTTAGATAAGGAAAATAATTTTATGAAGGATGTTGTGAGATACAGATAAGGCGTGGTGGGGGCGTGGAGCCGGGCCGGTCATTGTAGACAACAATCATTGTTTGCGATTGAAATAACGTTTGATGGGATCAGGGCATTCAATTAAAGCCACATTATTCTCATATGGAGGGAACACGTATTTATTCATCTCTCATTATTACTTATTAAAATAATTATCTAAATTAATAACTTTATATTGATTCTTTGAATATATTGGGAGTTATCTTAATTTTTCTAAACTTCATATGCAATATATAATGATATTTATAAATAAAGTATCAACTCATCGTCCAAATTGGAAATGAATTTAGGTAGTAAATATTTATTATGTCTTTACACATTTCATAACTTGCCCTGTAAGGGATTTTTCTTATAAAAGGGACAGCTCTGTATTTATTTGGAAGGCACGACACATGTCACAGCCTTTTTCTTTTCAAAGAATAAAATTAAATTTTGGATTCAGTCCAGAGGACCAAAAAGAATATAGCCTATATGAATTATATATAAAAAGTAGCAAAGTCATCAAACTTGTTAAATGCCACAAAATTAAATATGGGAAGCAGCAAAGTCTTAATATTATGCAATATATTAAATTCATTCAAATCCTCTATTATTACTGTACAAATCTTGCTCATTTTATCTAGCTGTTCTTCATAATAATTTTAAAAATAATAATCTTAATTGCATGGCTCCCCCTTCAACCATCAGTGTCAAAGCATGAGCATTTTATCAATATACTTGTAATTAAATACACCCCCTGATTTTTATTTATAGGTTACTGTTTTTTTTTTTAATTTTACTCTTATTCAATATATGTTGCTCCATTTATGCCCTCTTTCCCTTATTAAACTCTCTCATCTCCCCCCCCCCCAACAAAAAAAATTCTCCCTCACAGTTATCCTCTCCGCAGTAAGGGTATGTTAGGAAAAAAACATATTACTTTTAAGTAATATTTTATTTAAGATAATTTAATTATGCGGGAGGGAGTAGCTGGGTTTAAATTGAGAATATTATGATAAGAGATGTTGATATAAAAGAAAGTGGTAGGCACAGGCTCGTGAGGAGGGCAAGATACGTATTGGAGTAGGAAGCAGCAGAGGAGACCACCAACCCAGTTGTGGCCCAAATGATCTGTCTCATGTGGTTACCTATTTTACAGGGCATGGTTACAGCCCAAGGTAGATATATTATTATTATTATATACTAATTAAAATAATTATTTATACTCTTATTAATACAACATATCAATTCAAACCAAGTACGGGTCACCGCCAATCTAACCCCTTCTCTAATCTCTATTATTCCCACCTAATCACCTCACCAGGTTTGCTTTAGTTTGATTGGTTTGCTGGCACACACATTCAACCAAAGAGTTCCCTACCCAATTTGTTTGTATA